GTCGCTAGAGACGGTTAACAAGTTATAAATGGCTATCCCAGTCCCCTCCTCCCTGTCGGCACTCGTTACTGCATACATTCCCGGTTGCTACGCGACCGTCTGTGGTGGGGCTCTGTATTGAGTCCCAAGGCGCAACCGGACAGGCCTGTCCTGCAACCTGGCCGGTGAGGAATGTACATCCACCATAGTTCACATTCCCGATCTCAACTGGCGTGACGACGGGTCTGCGGTTGAATGTCAGACCGTTGGACTACTTAACGCTCAGTGGTCAGTGAACCCAGATCAAAATCTCATGTCCTGCTTGTGATGACCTTTAGACCGGAAACGGTTACCACAATTCCCCTTGTCGTCGGTACTCCCACTGTCATCTAAAGCCTGCTAGGAAGAAGAGCACGCTTTGTCACGTTTGGGTCGGGTCTGGCGCTGTATCACAGCCTCTGGAATTTCGTTCCCACCAGTGGGAACCGGATAAAATGCCTCACCAGCTTGATCGCCTTGTGTGCTGAGACTCATGGCACATAGGTTTTAAACTATGCCGCCAGGTATCACAACGTGTGGTGCGTCGTGATGAGTAGGAAGGCTGCCAACTGTCGGTGCAGCTCAGATCTCGCAGTCGGCTCCATGTGTGTTTTTGTTTAGAGTGGTTGATTGGGGGAAAGTGAGTCAGGCTCGATGGCTCCTTCTTCATGTTGATCCCCAACGGCACCCTCACGCAAGTGTGATCTGAGTCGCCTACCTCGTTTTTGAAAAAACCTAGCGTGTTGTTTGCGGCAGGAGGGACGATTCGTGTGCAATACGTGTACCCATCTCTCAAATCAGTTGACTGACCGGTTCAGATGGGGGACTGGTATCTGGGAGAGGGAAGAGAGAGCGAGGTTGACTGTCTCAGCGCACTTTTTTCACTACGAGTTTCTGCGCTTTCAAACCACCACATTGCGCTGAAACCCATGACCTGGAAGGCTGCCAACTGACGGAACAATTCGGTCCCCCCCCCCTCTCCCCAACCTCAGGATGGAGAGTCGGACTGCAATGGCTCCGCCTACATGTGGCTCCAATTGTACTCCCACTCGGAGGGGATGCGGGCCGTTGTGTCTGTGAAAACCTGGTCACTTGCACTCAGACCAGGTCGTTTGTGGCTCACGTATGCGGCCTGTTCGGCTTCGTCGGCCACTGACCCCTAGCTCGTCTCTGGCCTTCTTGATGGCGAGCTTTGGTGAGGAGGGAATGAAGTAGGTGCTGCGCAAGTCGGCCGCCATCACAAGCTAATTCACACGCAAGCCACCTCTGCACCCGCCATATTTCGGGGCACATGGTAGACATCGTTTTTTTTACTACAGTCGAGTTGTCGTGTCATAAAGCTGTAAAGAGTGTTTGAGTGAGTGTTGAGCACTGATGGCCAGGGAACTCAGTCAGAGGCGATTGCACAAATGCAGAGCAGCGTACTGGCTCCTGGTTGAGGGTTCTTACAGTGTCTACTTAATTAACGCTTACTCTGTCAGCTGACTTTCCGTACTTCTGTAAATTTACTCCCACAATGAGTACACAACGGTTCCATCCCACGCCTATTTTGCCAGAAGTCGTATCTGTCCGCAGGGGTTATGTCGAGGGATGAAGGCACTCCGAAGAGCATTTGAGGTTCTCATGTAGTCTGATACTCACAGGTCAAAAATGCTAACAAAACACAGTGCGGTCCGCTCCCGTTTCGGATTCATGAGCGGCAGTGCTCATAGGATGCAGTCGCTATGCTACATCATTCGCAGCCAAACTAACGGCTCCTCCCTACATCGGGGATGGTTGCCCTTGGTGCGATAACTTTTTAACTGCCGGCATTCTAGTCGTTAAGGGCTGTAGTGTTGTTAAATGTTGGCGTGATGACTGTGTGGCTGCTCGCTCTTACAGTCGCCAGCGCGGCCGCCTACCTATGTCGCCCTTCAGTGCTCGCCTCGCGCTCCCTGCCAATTGGCTGCCGGACCAGCTTACGACCTGGCACCAGGTTCCGAGAGCTCGACGCTCATTGGCAGCAGACGGACACAACTCAGGCCGACGCATGCGCGCTTGGCTCAGGACATCAACAAACTCAAAGAGAGTCTCCAACAAACAGAGCTCTTTGTTGTAGCATCTGTCGATTCCGTGCCAATCGAAAATCCGCCGAGCTTGGCCTGTGTCTGTGACGGCACCGAAGCCACTATGGGCACACACAGATCATTCCGTCAACTGGGAGATACATTACTGTGAGACAGTTGTTAACACCCTAAGAATAAAAATGTACTTGTTCTCCAATGTCTCTTTTAATGCTGAGGACGCTCAAGGCCTCTCGCCGCTACTCTTGCGCTGGACCTTCAGATGGTACATCAACCCTGCTTCGCTCAGTTGGTCTCGTTCAAGGACGCAAATCGGGTCAAATGCCCTGATGCCCCTTCTTGTGGCGAATCAGTTCGTGCATGGATAGAGGTGTCCTCCTTCCCGGTCGTTGGATTGACAAGGAAAACAAACATTCCAGACCGTTTGGAGAAGGCAAAGTCACTCCTACAAGGCGGGGGTTGTTCCTACTTGCCGTTTCGACCAGCCATGCCTAGCTGTGCGGACTCTGAGAATTCGCATAGGACTACTGAGGCATCCGACATGGCTGCCGGATTCCAGTGCGATTTACGGCTGGTGGTGGTGAGAAAAGGAGCCCATCTAACCTGAGTCGCCCAGGGGATTGCAATGGGGGCTGAAATACAGAAGGATTGTTGAGCATGGAGACACACACGCAGACCACGTTTGCCTATTTTAATCTACCGGCCAATGACGGTCGCCAAGAGTTAGGTGCTATGCAGAGCACAGCCGCTTCCCCACACAGTGATGGTCATCGTTGTCTTGGACGAGTTCGCAAACCACTTGAAAGGTCTCGTGGATCAGTCTATGAGGAGCTAATTAAAGACGTAATCCAAACACATGGGCAATTGTGATGCTCGGTTTCACACAGAGCATTCTACTCTAAAAAACTGAGGAAGGATTTTTAAGTGGCAATACGAGTCCTCGACGGTAGACGCTTCATGTCGTGACAGTTTTTACGACACACGATTTGTGCCGCATATTAATCAAACCCTGCGGCGCACGAAAGTCGGCGCCAACTACTGGAGTTTGCATAAATTAGCAAATAATTTGAAATGTCTCCAAAATTTGTGGTCGGCTGATCCGCGCCGTCAGAACAGTAATCTCAATTTGCTCCATAGTAGCTGGGAACTGTCCATCGGAATGTGAAAATATACATACCGCGTGGATGTATGCTCTCGATTATAGGACAAGTAAGTTTTTTGAGTCTCCTTGAAAATCATGCTACCCTTGAGAGACAAACTGTACCATTATGATTTTGGCTCGTCAACGCTTATTAAAATAGATCGATCTTGGCAATACTGATTTTTTTTTATAACAGCAGGGTGGAAAGGATCCCTCTATTCCAGTTCAGAGTCCTTGAAACGGATCGGATGGCGAAAGGCGAATATGCAAGTAGAACAAGACGGTGACAATTACCTCGAACAATCCTAATTGCGACCAACTAGTCGCGAGACCATGGCTTAGTGGTAATGGCGGTACTCGATGAGTAACCTTATGTAGGTGGAGGCGAATCGGAAAACGCGTTAGTCAATAATGGGCTGACACCGGTAGCCCGATAGATGAGAAATGGGTGCTAGGAGTACAGAAGTCTCCATCATCGAAGAGTTCGATGGGACCTAAAATGCACCAATGCGAAAGACCAGCCGGGTGTACCGACGCACTAAGAAAAACCGCAATTTCAGTCGGCCGACCAAGACAATACCATACACACTAGGTAAGTATTATGACAGTTCGACCGCCATCACTGACTATGTCCACCGTATGCCCGCAGAGACGGTGAGTTGCGTTTGGATTGGTTTGCAGTTAGTGGACTTGCGCTGCGTCTATTGCGCTCTCTCCTTTCTCACTCTCCTCGGTCCGGTTTCAAGACAGTCAAAAAGACTGGAAGAAAGATCGGACGCAGGTGGTTGACACAGCGTGAGTCTGCGCTTAGGAGTACCACGGACCCCATGTATGACGGTTATGAGTGTGCAGCCCAATAACGCGTACCGAACCCTCGTGACGGACTAGCGCAACTCCCGCATGGCTCTTGTCGCGAACCAAAAACAGAACCTCCCGGCACGTTCGACAGCGAAGAACATGACAGTCACCAATACCCTACGAGGGCGTAAGACATATATTGTGCACGATAAATCCCAACCAGAAAGGACCACATAGTACATTTGCCGGCAAAATAATGCTGACCAAGCAACTCCCAGGTCCGGTAAGTCCTCTTGGCCCAATAAAACTAAGAATCAAAACGAAAGTAGGCCGGAAAATAGATTAGGTCATTAAAAGTGGGTGAAGGAGAGTTAACAAAGCAAAATTAATAAACAAGAGCAGATGTACAGCGAAGGATGAGGGAACCTATAGGTTCAGCAGGGGCACTCAATGCGTATCGAGAGGCGCCTCAGCGACTTCCGGTATTCGTGGTCTCAAAGTCATGACAACGTCGTTAAGTGAGTAGAAGGAACGCGCCAGGTCCCCCTCACAGATGTAGGGCACGCGTGACCAGGCCAGCAGTTCGTAGCCAGCCGGCTGGAGGACATTAGCCACAAAGCTGGAAAACTGGACCTCCCAAACTCGACTGGCAGATACGTCCATCAGCTCCACGGGGCGGTGTTCATCTGCAACTGAATAAACCGAAAAAGGTGGACAGACGTCAGGAGAGGGAGGGACTCTAATGTTTTTCTCTAGCCCCAGACTCAACAGCACAAGCCGTGAATGTTCCAAGGGGAATTGGAGGGGATATTGCACAGACATGAGGGAGACCCCGATTCGCAAGGCCACGATGGCCGGGGAGGGAACGACTCTCGTCCCACATCCGCCTGGGTTGCTTCTAAAAAGGTATCTCATAGAGGCAACTGCCTTTTTGGATGATCTGATGACCGATTACGTCCTTACCACGCCCGTTTGACAGAAAGTTGGACATAACACCAAAGAAGCTAATAGAAGCGAAGAGACGAGTCCCAGGAAGTAGCCTTGAAGACGGAGACACGATCGGTGGGACAAGAGCTGTACAAGCCTGACGTTTCGGATTCCTGCTCGAATCCACCGTCAGAGACAAAAGCAGATTCGGGTGGTTCATGCGCAAGGGGCTGCAGCATTTATAAATATTTATAATATATTTATTTTATTTATAAATACTACAGCCCCTTGTGCATGAACCACCCGAATCTGCTTTTGTCTCTGACGATGGGTTCGAGAAGGAATCTAAAACGTCAGGCTGATACAGCTCTTGTCCCACCGATCGTGTCTTCTTCTTCAACACCAAAGAAGCTGCCCCATAGCCCACAACTCTCACCCTCAACGATGATCGGGAAAGTGTCTTCGACTGCGGAACCCGATGCGGCACTTTCGTACCAGCATAGGACGCCGCTTGCCGTTTTCTGTGAAGTTAGGATCAGCAATGCACGTATTACGACCTATTGTTTGCGTATAAAAGCATGCCCAATCTGAAGTTCGTTCGGCTACGAGAGAAAACGACCTTAATAGACAATAGGAGTGATATCAGATAAAGCACTCTCCTTCATTCGTGCACACTTTGATCTTCGTTCCGTTATGGTGGGCTTGAAACAATCAAAGCGACTTTGCTGGAAGTATTACCGACCACAGGGGTTAAAGCGGTTTAGCTACGAGAACCCTAATTTTTAACGAATATGTGGAATGAGCTCTTCTGCCACACAGGCAACACTCTGACAATGAAGCTAACTATCGTATTGAAGTCTGGGGGTTATTTACAGGCGACGAAGGACTGCAAATGGGACTCTGGGATGCCAGTGGCAGGGGGCCGCCGTTTCTTCAACCAGTTGAGGGAACAATGAAGAGCAGTCATAGCTTCATCGCTACCTGCAGTGAGTGACCGATCTCATGAAGTGTTGGCTGAAATTCTGAAATGCGTTTTCGATTAGGAAGGATTACTTAAGCGCGGTTGCAAAACTGATTTCCTTGCGTCATAATCCTGTAATATTTCAGACTCGGCAGGATGTCAGCTTTTGAATGCACTGCTTTTAAATCGCCCTTAGAAACCATATTCGGTAAAAAATGACTACTTAAGTAGCATGCATTTTCGACATTGATTTTCGATGGTCCGGCGGATCTAAATACATTTTATAGAAACCACAATCAAAAATATGCTTTCTTCCAGTCGCTTGATAGAGAATCACGTTATCTTTATATTTTATACTAGAAGGAGTATAATAAGGCCTTGACACAGTTTCTAATTATGAAATTATTTAAGACCGCGCAATGTCCATTCATACCGCATCGTACCTGTCTGTTTACCACTGCTACACATGAAATGTACATGTTCCGGTTCTACTACAAAATTTCATCGATCCTATGTAGTAGCTTTTTAAAGGCATGGAAGTATAAGTGATTTTCTTTACGGAAAACACATGCACCTTGTAGACTGAAATCCCTAAGCGCTAATGCACCGGCTGATCATGCTCGAAATTATTTAGGGATTAGAAAACTTTTATTAAACCTAGTTGTACTCCTTCTTCGGGTATAAAACATAAAGACAAATGAGTCTATCAGACAACTGAAAGGAAACATATTTTTGTTCGGGGTTTCTGTAAAATATATTTAAATTTTCAAAACCGTCCAAAATCATTGCAAAAACGCATGCTACTTAAGTAGTCACGTGTTACCGAGTACGTTTTTACAGAAGATTAAAATGTAAAGCTTTCAAGAGCCGACATTTTGCCGAGCTCGAAATATATTAGGATTATGTCCCATGATAATGAATGATTAAACCCCGCCTAAGTAGACCTTACTAGTCGAAAACACATTTCAGAATTTCAGCCAACATTGAATTGGTTTGCTAAAACAGGACTCCACAAAGAAGGCAGTGCTCCTAAACTCGTGAGCGACGACCTATCCGACAAACTGCATGAAGATCAGATGACTGGTGTGCGTAGGTCGGTGCCTGAAGCAAGGTCCAGTGCATTAAGAACCTGAATAATGATGACACTGAGCAAATGAACTGTGCGGATGTCAACAACCCTGAGAAACAAGAGCTTCCAATTAACTCGGCAGTGCTGGATCAACGCAGAGGCGGCAGACATGGCTGTAATACAAGATGAACGACGCTGTAGGCGTCCACAAACGGGGTAGCAGGGCGAAGGTAGGGGGAGACTTCACATCCAATAGTTTCAACTCTTAAAATCATTTTTATTTACCAATCATCACTGCTAACCGCAATCAATGTTCGCACCGGTAGACGACTGCAAGAATGCAGGGCCTAAATGGCGCAGGCTATCAGAGACCGCGGTTTCGGAGCGCCGTAAGAGTACGTACTGCCATTAAAGATGTGCAGCGGTAACAACGCACCGAGTGTTAGTATGGCAAAGCATACGGCAAAGTACTACGCAATGCAAAACATTACAAGCTACGGGTTGTCGCGAACTTGGAGAGTCTAGCCTACTTAAAAAGCACACAGAGGCAACTCAAATGTGCCATAACTGACATAAACTGGGGAGTGGGGCCTGCTGTTAGCCTAATCACGAGCAGCCAAACATTTTCACGGGTGGCAGACAGTGGAACGGCTTTGAGTGACGGTTGTCTGTGAAATAAGCTGATGCGCAGAGGCTATCATTCAGGAGTGACTGTGCAGAGATCCGGAAAATGCTGCCATCCAGCACAAGCCTAAAAGCTTGAATTGATGGGCTAGAGAACTGAATAGAAACATGCGCCCTTAAGTTTGGAAACCGCCGAGAATAGTCTATCCACCAAGGTGTTAAAAGCAGCAGCAGCAGAAGCAGCAGCAGCTGTCCAATAGTCTTTGGACAACCGAAGGGCTACGATCATTGCACCGTGGAGTCGAATGCGGCAATTTCCCGGCCAACAACACCAACTACCAGTACGCGCGCGCAGACAGTTTCCTGTAAAGGATCTACCACAGTCAAAGCACAGAACTCGAGCCAGTAAACTTCACGTAACGGAAAAGGAGTGATCAAGAGGGTCCAATAAAAAAGGAACCTCAGTAAGATGCAACTCCATCAAACTCCATCTCTTACATTCCACATACTGCTTCAGAGGAAAGACGACGGCAAGCACAAGCAAGCCCGAACCGGGTTTAAGGACCTCCCGAATCCTACGTAGGAGAGTAAGCGGTTCAGAGCAACGGTCGAGGAGGTTGAGGCAACTGACAACGTCGTATTGCGGTTGAGCTGGCTTTGAGCAGGAGGAGGAAGCAAGGTCAACGGAGGTATCACTTGCTTCAGGAGGTTGATCCCATTTGTCAACATCGAGGACTCTAGGGAGAAAGAACAGGGCAAAAATGGGCCCTGAGGTTGGTGGTGTGGAGGGAAGAGAGACGTACGGAGCGCGTAGCTTACGTGAAATTCGCCTGCTTTAGGCGCCATCGCATGACAGGTGACATTTCTGTTGTGTAGACCTCGTCAAAGAGTGGGGCCATTTTGGCCGTTACTTTACCGTCACCGGCGCCTGAAAGAAGAAGCGCTGTTGGCGTAAAAAATGCACAGCCTGACATAGCCAGCGGTAACAACAAAAAATGTGTCGCTTTGTCAATAGAACGGCCGCAACCTAGGCGGATCCATTTCAGGGAACATCCTAGCGGGCTATGGCATTTTCTGCAGCCGTCTCACGAGGGTTTGCAACTAATTTGGTGTCGGTACGAGGAAAAAGTGAAGCTAGACGGTTACAAGATGATACTGCGCCACTAGAACATTGGGACTACATTGGTAGAGAAGTCAGGGCCATCACTATTGGCTATAAAGCATAATACAAATCAATCATCAATCAAAATCAGTCGCAGTGGTGCATAGTAGTTCCGGGAATTTCTTCACCTGATCGTTGCCCAGGAAATGCTGAATGTCAAAGTAGACAGTTCCGACACCGTGGACTCTGGACTAACAAAAACAGTAGCAAATCTTTATATAATGCGGAACTCGACCCAGCACTTAGGATAAGAGGCTGATTTAATACATGGACATTCAGGGAATCTACTTTCCACGAAGTTCGTTGTGTGCTGGTAACAGCATGACGTCAAGTGCTATCGTTCAAGTCTTAACCACCATTTCGCAGACTAGTTTTACGGCCCCTCGACCACTTTGGCTAACAGCCCGGAAAAAGCAGCCAGAATGTCACCCATCACAGAGGCCACTATCAAACGTGAGCAATTTGATGTATAAAAGGTCAACATGCACAAATAGTCGACAGTTATTACTATGCGAGCAGGCAACAGGCTAATTGCATTGCAGACGGAATTCGGGACTTAGGTCTCAGATCAGACGGTAAAAACTTCGGGAAAGTCCCATTCGGAATAAGGACCGGTTAAGGTCATAGTTTATGACCCCAGTGTATTCAACAACTGTGGACATGACAGCTGAGTCTTGCGCCCCACGAACTGTATAGTTGTTTGAATGAGGTGGAATCTTTCGGCGCGGATCTGGGGTGAGGATGGTGTAACTGCGTGTTGGTGAAAATGGTCGGTGCCCTCCCCACCCCCTACCGCCGACATCGCAACTCTTTCCTCTCTCTCTTTACGTCAGCACCTTCCAAGGCCCGCCCCCTGCAGTTGCCCACAGCGCTGCCTTTCCCATTAGTTGTTTAGCTGGTAAGTCGGCGTCACCTTTCCACCCAGACAGGCCATTCCCCTGCTGCAGCTCATCTTTTCCTGTACCACTGACTATTACTATACATAGAAAATCCTCTTCCTGTCCTGTCGGATGCGATGGAGAATATACAGTGATAGAAGGGCGCTCATCGACTGTTTTTATGGGACCCCGATTGTGCCTTAGGGTTCTCTCTCTCTCTCCCTTGAGGTCAACCAGCAGTCGCACAGCGACGCATGATATAAGCAGAATGGCATTATATATATGATGGTAGAGGGACGCTCACAGTCAATTTCCTCCTCTATTTTATCGTCTGGATGAGTGCAATGACGTGTCTAACAACTCTTCAGGTCGTTTGAAGCCAGGAGTCATTTCCAATGCTTTACGTTACCCCGTGTGTGCTACCCTCAGCGTCTACGCCCGCAACAGATGCGCTTATCAGATCATAATTTGCGGGCTATTTAAAAGCATAAATAGGCTGAGACCCCGAAAACAGAGTATGCACTGGGTCTCTAGCGTACTAATGGCAGTACAAAAATGTTGTTTCTACACACCCTTGCTTGCAAATGTGGTGTGCCGTTTTAAAGGGTGATCATGAAGACTATTACGCAGATTTTAACTGGCGGGAGCCAGAAAAAGCTGAAAAATATTCATAAAACAAAAACGGTCGACACTATCTGATGAGATAATCATCATTTGAATGTACAAGTCATTAATAAAGAACGCATTGACAGATTCCGATGAACCGAATGCAAACAACGGTGATGAAACAAATAGTGATTACCTAGATCCAACAGTCGTTTGGCATGCCAGTCACTGGTGACACCGAGCAAACGGCGGAACTGCGCGGTGGAAAGCACAAACATCGAACCCCGATTAAGAAGCCTTCAGGAAAGACAAGAGCGTTTATTTAAAAAAACATTCGTTATTGACTGCAGAGGCCACGAAAACGTACCAATACTTAATGGTTTGCAAAAACCGAACTGCGTATACTAGAAGTGACCTGAAAGACAATTGTAAGGAGTTAGGAAAATTCGACTGCTTCCTAACTCAGCATTCAGACAAACTAATGAGGAGCAAAGGGGTCGCTGTGGTTGCCAATCGAAAATTCGTGAACCATGAGGATATAACTGAGAAAACCAAAGCAACCTTGAGTACGTGATAAGTCTACCACCTGTTAAACTGACGCGTGGTGTCTATAACAAAACTAGGGGACCCTACTTAACGATGTTGTTTGCCGGCGCCTGGGTAAAGCGAACAAAGGCATGCCGACGAACACCAGGATGATATTTTCGGCTACAAAAGCAGTAACACTGCCTGAAGACGTCCAGGATTGCCCGTCAATATGTAACATGCTTATGATATTTAGATTTCGCTCTTAGTGGCCATAACTGCGGGTCTAAAGGAGTGGAGAATTCGAAGGCAGACGGGAACGGCGTTGGTGAGAAGACGGCTCAGCACTAGCCAAAACAACGTGATAGAAATGAAAATGGACTTCCACTTGCCCGTTTGCCGACGTGACTGTCATAAACCAGGTTAAAACAGACTTCGAGATCGAATGGTAGAGCTGGGTGAAGAACCAATCTGATTTTTCGTAACAATTCTGAAGAAAAGCTGTGGTCTCCTCATCCTGCTCAGATTGAAGGAAAATTTTCATTAGTTCAGTCGACAAATATTCATTCCTGACACTGTACCACTACAATTGATAAATTGTAAAAGTGCGGTACATAATCATGATTCGAATTCATATGCTCCTGCGCATGCTCATACTTCTCGTAGATAAGGCGAGCAAGAGGGCTCCGGAGTTTCACGGCCATGCCTATGAAAACAGCCTATGGATCTTTAACAAGAAATGTCAACAACTACTAGAATTATAACTGCAGTCCCTGTACAGTGCTGAAAACCAAGCCCGCGCCTACTCATCCGACCGACACATGGCGAGAAATTCCAACCAAGCACGAACGACAGAGGATTATAACCGGAAGACTGATTCCTTCAAGTTGATTGGGTCACGTCAATTTACTCAGGTCTCCTCTTTCTTTGCGGACTTAAACCATTCCAAATACACGAGATAATGTAACAACCTGTTGACACCAAAAAGCAAGGAACCTCCCTTTCATTCTCTACACGGTTATTCTTCCTAAAATGAATGCCGGAGACCTTAGAAGAAATTCGGGAATTTTAGGATAAAATACGCAACTAGAAGAGTGAAAGGCGGTCATGAACAGCGAAAAAAACGGGAGAAAACCAGCAAAGTCAGATAAGAATAATTGTACAGTGCTAAATTGAATTATAACTATTTTTTAATGTGTCAACACAACTCAACCTGACAAGCGGTTTGCAACAGATAAATGAATACACGCCCTGCCAGCACCAGCCCCGCCGAATCCCGTAAAATCCCACGGGGCTTCAGGTGGCGATAATAGGCTATACGGGGACTAAATGCGGGGATAGGGTTGAGTTTTCGACGCTGCAACCTCTCATTGCCCTCTTACGCTAAAAAATGCGCTAAGGAACGCCTCCTTTCCGCTTCTCCCCACACCCTTTTAGGGTAACGACTTTTCTGTCCTCAGTATAATGTCTTAGGCACGGCGCATCGCAACCCGGCATCCTCTCAAGTTACCCAAACGTATGCAGACATCCCAGTGCATCCGCTTTTAACCCTCTCCGTAACGGTATCGGACAATGAACACAATTAAATACGAAGAAATATTTTAGTGATAGTAAACAAAATAAGAAAATAAAAGTAAAGCGCGTACAATCGCAGAAGTTATCAGTTAATATCTAGAAAAGTGTTTTCATTCTCCAACACGTCCCTAAAAAAAGAGGGCAATAAATGATATTTCGAAACAATAAATAAAAGAAGAGAGAGTTAAATAAGACTGTTGAACTGAAAAGGTAAGAAATAAAATAGTGTATGATTCGAAATACGCAATAAATAAGTGTGTTAACGAGCTCACTGGTGACAATGGTTCGCTATTATAACTGTGTCGTCGCAGAAGGTTTGCTGCAATAAAGGATAATCCCTCAGTTAAAAAAACCCTAACTTCTTCCACAGTATAAATCTTTGGAGCAGGGAAAGTAAAGAAAAGGACCACATTGTTTAAAAAATGGTCATTTAATGGGTAACCACATGTTTATCAAAGGGACATTGCATATAACCCTTAAAATGCGAGGGAAATCACACTACTTAAACAATTGCAAGTAACGACATTACGCTATACAACCGTGTCACTTAATACATACCTTTGAATATAATATTAGATTAGTCGTGAACATGATGTTAATGTTAATATTAGTGTACAGTTTAAAAATCGTACTTACGGTGTCCTCGGGCGGGGATAATTTTTCGATGGAGTTCGGCAACGTTAATTCCTTAAGTCATCTAAATGTATTGTCGAGAGCAGGCTGAATATGATTAATGACCTTCTTAAGTGCTGTCCTGTCGCCTTCCTCTGCCGCCGTATCGGTCTCTTGACCCATGAAACGAAACGATTATACCTCTTCGAACCAGCTCCTCCGAGCAGTTAGTAAATGAGGTAATTTGCCGAATGGTCTCTGCAGTCCTATGAAGAAATAGACATTTGACAAAGAATGGGGTTCAACGGAGAACGAGCCTTTTCTGTAGAACCACTTCAGCAGATGTTGAGGCACAGGGGCGGTCCTAAGAGAGTACACGGAAGATGCCGGACAAACTCCTTCTCACTGCGGCCCCCACAATTGCAAGCTATTTAACCTGTTAGACAGAAAAAGTTACATGATTTGCTTGTATACATATCACTTCTTCTCCAAACTGTGGCTCATCATGCAGTCTAGCGATGAAGTCTTCATACGCCACAGTGGTGCACAAAGGCAGACGCACTGGTGATGCTTTGGGTTGGACAAGCAACGCGGACTGCTGAAGGACGCTAAAATTTTCGACAATGATTGCCTCCCGTTGGTGCATCTCACTTAGCAACTCCACCATATGCTTGGCGAAGGAGTCCTTTGTCCTACTAATTGAAGGTCAACTTGAAGGAGAAATGGTTTACCATATAGCAGTCAAACCAGCTTGCATAGGGTTGTACGACTCCTTTTCGTTTATTGGCAATCTGAAAAAAACATTTAATAGAACTTGCATACTCGTGTGCGGTCAGTATCGAAACCGCAACAGGTCTTCTGCCTGCGTCCGAAGGAAGAAGTATGTTTTTTGTGAGCTATGGACCTAAAACTTGCTAGAGGTAGTGATTTTTACTGAAGTACGGGTGGCGGTGCGTTCCAGTCAGCTAGCCGTCTGTGTGGCTGCCTTGAACAATCGTGGGCGTCACCGTCGTCTGCGTCGTCGTCGTCGTCGTCAGATGGCAGCCAGCGGGAAAACATAAATATTGTGCTGCACCTACTTTCTCCTGAAGTCTCCCTCCATTTTTGGGCTCTGTATCCGAGAGGTGGTCTGTATCTTCCGCCCTATGCGCCACACGGCGGGCCTTCTCCAGACTGAGGTTTTCTTTCAACATCATCACTGGATAGACTTTACTACCCTGCGGTGGGCGTTTGATCCTCTCTAAGAGTCTTGTACGCTGTTTGTCAAACCGCGGCCAAATTACAGAGTTCTTGTCCACGAACTAAGATCTCACAACGACGGCCACCGTATTTTTATTCATAAGCTCAAAGACAGAGTACATCTGCGGGATAGCATGCAATCGCATTCGTGCACTCGGCAGAACGCGTACCTAGGAAATGCTTACTAAACATAATAGTGTACATGAACGATGTGTAAAAAGAGGATGGGATAGAGTCACTTGGAAAAGTCGTTTTTCACCAAAGGTATGCAACAGCGGAAGAAGGAAAAATTCATCGTCTTGGACATCGTAATCAGCAGTGGCATCGTTGTATAAAATTGGAAATTCAGAAATAACATTTTTCATCAGAAGGAGGGCAAAAATCTACGTGAGCTATTTGCAAATTTGGGTGAAAAATATAAAAACAACAACGGAAAGGAGCAAAAAAGAATTGTAAAGGGAGTCGTCGAGAAAAGGAGATCTATAAAAAGTAAAAAATACCGGTATTCGGCGGCCTTCCAATATTCAAGACAGTCAAGAGGCCTGCATTTGCGTGAAAATAAGGCAGACAAACACTGACTGGGAATGGTTTTAGGTTTTTTGAAAAAAACTTCGAAACCGTTATGATGAGTTTTAGTTTATATCTAAGATTTAGGGACAGTACTTGTTTCCACATACAGAAACTGACGCGCAGATTTCCAGCCGAAAATAAGTTAGCTAACACTGGTTAGCAGTTTACCTGCCCGTCATTCCCTCCCCCAAGTCCTACCCCTTTTTATTTACGTCAGAATTTTTTGATGCCACAAAATTTTTTGCAGAACCAGTTGGTTACATCCGGACCGTTTGCTCCGTGGGCAGACCAGCACTGGACGATGTAGCCCACCTCCCTCAGAAACATACCGCCTTTCCCTTCAAACTTTTTGTTTTAAATGTTAGATCCCTGCTTAATAAGATGCCTTTGCTTCAGACTTTGGTGTTCGTCCATTGTCCGGATATTGCTTTAGTAACTGAGACATGGGCATCAGCCTCAGTAGCTGACTACGAACTCTCTCTTCTAGGCTATAATTGCATTCGAAATGATCGCCAAGAGAGCCGAGGTGGGGGCCAGCTGCGTCTACGTAAAGCAAACACTTACATTTTTGCCGCTTGATCCCCCGCTCTTTTCCGCAGTAGGAGGCAGCTGCTGGCTCCAGGTTGCACTAAAAATAAGTTCTGCTTACTCGTTGGCTGTGTTTATCGCCCTCCCAACGCCAACGACAATTTTGATCGTTTACTCTCACAGGCATTTCATGCTGCGACCGACTTAAGCTTTAAGTATCGATTGGTTACCGGTGAATTTAACCTCCCTGAAGTCCGCTGGTCTCCGCCTTCAGGCCCCAGAAGTTTCGAAGACATTGTTGAGGCTGTGGATGCTGGAATGATGACTCAGGTTGTCGATTTTCACACCCGAGGATCAAGCATACTTGACCTGATTTTCTGTAGAGGCTGCATACCTTCGCCTTTGTCATCTCTTGGCCCACTCGGTGGCTCAGACCATGAAATATTTGTTTCAACTTTTGAGTTCGAGGCTGACAAAGCGTTGTCCCCAAAGTATAACTTTTTCCGCGATTTCCGATCAACTCGCACAACCGAATTATTAACATACCTTAATTCCTACGACTGGACTGATTTCTTCCTTAGTTCGGATGTAAATGCTTGCACTGCAAAACTGTACGAAAATTTGGATCCGCTTATTTCTCGTTTTTCTTTCGTGAGAAAATTATTGATGTTGGGGATGAGGTTTTCCTACCCTTGCCCTTTCGTCGCAGGTTGCGCAGACTTTATCGTCGCTCCTATCTTCAGAACAACGTTTCTGTCCTGCCCTTGATTTGTGATATTTTTGAGCGGGCTAATAGATTGTCTAAAGAAAAATAGCTAGCCGAGGAGATCCAGTTACGTGTCTCGAAACTTTTCTCTAGAAAAATACGAACTCATAAAAAGACGCAGCATCCCATCCTCCGAGACGCTTTCGTAAATCCTGTAGTTGATGCCCAGTTAACCGCTGATAGTTTCAATGATTCCCTGTCCAAAACGTTCAATGAAGACTCGACCACTCCGCTTCCGACCATCCAGGCACTGACTGGGGTACTCCTAAGAACTATAACTTTTACTCTGTGGGATGTGACTGTTGCGATTCGGCGTTTTCGTCAATCTTATAGTCCAGGCCCTGATGGTGTCCCAGTAAGCATTTTAAAAGCCGATGCAAACACGATCTTCCCATCCCTCTTATGCAAGATATTTAATCTTGCTTTTGAAAGTGAAACTTATCCTACATTTTGGAAGGAATCACACATTTTGCTCATTCCTAAGCACGGCAAATCCACATCATTTGATGACTTCCGGCCA